TGTAATTCTGAACGAGTGGGAGATTTCACCACGGATGTCCCGTCTTGCACTGAAACATTAATAGCAATTTGCTCCTGTTTGATTTTCCCGACATCACAATTTAGTTCTGCAATGAGCTCAGCCTTTTCTTTATCGCTCTGCTCTAGTTTTACGAATCTGGCTTCATTCTCTTCCATAGCCTGCCTTAATTTAGCATTTTCGGCTTTAACCTTGGCATTCTCAGCCTTAATATCAGCATTTTCAGCCAGAAGCTCGACGACGCGTTGTTTCAATAAATCAAGTTCAGATTGCATATTCAATAACACCTTTCATATAGAACGCGATTTATTTAAAATGCATTTTACCCAAGTGGGACTTTAGGTCTCACTTTTTTTATTCACCATACGTCTCCATATCCCATGAAAAATATATTTGATACAATGTATAGCATTTTCGGCTCGAATTCTTTATTGATACAGAAAATAAATTATATGATTCAATGATACATAGACTTGTTTACAAAGTAAAATGGCGGTCTTATACTAATGCCCATCTAAACTATCTGTACTAACACAATATCCCAACATTAACTCTAATCCGATTTCATTTGTCCCAACATTGATGTTCTGGATAGAATAAAATGGTCGTCAGTTATACGTAAAACATGCAGAGTCAGAAATAAATTAACAGTATTGACCTCACCGAAAGTTTACATTCTCCGTCTAATAAGGTCCTCGAAATTTCTGAACAAAAAATAGATATTAGCTTTGCAAGCTTTGAAGTCGCTTCCTTGCAAATGCACAGTCGCAGCCGAAATATTCATACCTGAATTGCGTAATGTCTTTGTCCGGAACATTAGCTTCGCCGATAACGATCGACACTCTCATGTGACATTGTGATATGTGGCTTAGATAATTTTTTTCGTAATTTTGTTCGCTGGCTCACAGTTCGTAGTAATTAGTCAACAACCATTTATGGAAACACATATATATATGAAATATATTCAAAATGTCAAGCTATTCTTCGCTATCTCGAGTACTTTCGCCGTTCCGGGTACAAACTAAATTCGAGGAAAATGCTCTACCTGCTAGGTCTAACATTGTATCCATAGTCTTTTGCTTGTGTTATACTGAAAAATTACTTTTTTTTGATCCTTGTTTTTTTAACTCTCGATTTTCGTATTTGCAGGCGTATTGTTGAAATGTCGTTTTATTGTGTCGTTCTAACTTATCCCCTTCCTGACCCTTTTCCGGTTAACATTTTCCAAGACAACTTGATCTCTGAAAATGAGATGATCCCTAAAGCAGAACTCACCTTTGGGCATCTCAAGCAAATGATAGTTAGGGTTATGGAGAAGAGCCCCACTGTTTACAAGAATATTTGCGAGGTGAAGTCGCTATGGAAAGTTGAAGGGCTTGCCGAAGGTGACAATAAGTGGACAATTCTTGAGGAAATAGCTAATGACAAAGACGAAACTAGCATTGAACAAAAATTAAGAGCTCTCGGAAATAAGTTGAAATCAAGTGTGTCTGTTGATCATGAATTTCCAAATTTTGTCGCTCCGAAGGGGCGAGTCCACATCATCGCGCAACCGCCTCAGCCCGCCACCACTGGTAAGTGTCTCCCAATGGTTTACCTCTCGAACAAGAGATTCGCGTTATCTCACATATTATATTTTTTATTTGATCAGGAAAGAGAAGATTGGAAGAGGATAAGGAAGGTGGAAGTCGAAAGAGAGGAAAATCCGACTATCCTTTAGAATCAAAGGAAGGCCGTGATAGTCTTATTTCTATTTCAGGAAATAGATTAGATGAAATCATTAAATTCGTGGAAATGAATCGCGTTGGACTTTTGCGAAGTCCACCATCATCAGGAAAAACTACCCTAGGTCAGACGCTTCGAGACTATTTTTCTAATTGTGGTGGTTTCTACATAAGTCTAGCTGGGTTAGGTGGTAGAAAGCAAATAACCGAGGAACATTTTGAAAATTTCTGGAGGAACGAAGTTGGTTGTAGCTGGACAGAAATCAGTGATAACACAGGGACCATTTATGTTTTCATAGACGAAATACAAGTTATTTATGGTAACCGTGCTGATTACTTTTGGGGTAAAGTGAAAATGCTTATGTCAAGCGAGAACAAAAACAAAAATGATATTCATATACTCCTTTTTGGTACATACGACCCAATACTTGTGAATGAAATGAATGAAACACCTACACCTGTGAAATTTTATGACGACAATACTCTTAGCTTGAAATCCTTACTTTTAGCCGAGGGAGAACTCAAAGATCTTACAAGATTTTATGTTCGGATGCGCGTTTTGGGTGGTAGCCCATTGTTTAAGATTCCCCAGAAAATTGCAGATGCGATCTTTTCTCTTACTGGAGGTCATGTAGGCTTGTGTCGATTTATTTTGGATTTGCTATACACTCATTATAAGGATAAATCAAATTATTTTCTAGCTGAAAAAAATGATGAAGCTTTGACAATAGGAATGTTACGTTATCTTGCTTCACCAAGTCTAACTATTAATGTAATGAAAGGTTCACGTGCATTTTATTGGATTGATAATTGGAATCCAACCGAAGGAGAAGCCAAATTTATTCGAAATGTATTACTTAACAATCAAGCTGGTAGATCCTTTCCTATTGACTTTAGTACAGATAGTGTTGCCAAGAATTTTGTCAGAATGGGACTTTTTGTAGCAGATTCTTGACAAGTACAGTTCACTGCCCCCATCTTTCGAGTTGTAATGAGTCACCACTTGTTTACCTCACCTCTTATAAAAGTACCTACACCCAACTTTGAGGAATTTTTGAAGCGAACCATTGAACGTATGAGCCCTTCTACATTAATTAATTCGTATGGAAAAGGAAAAGGACTTGATGCACACTTACTTGAGAGAACTTGGCAAATGGTGTGGTACCGAACTGCAACAACCGTAGCCCCAAAGGATACATCAGTTAGTCCTGATGTTGGTGCTACATTTAGCGCGAACGGATTTCTAGATTTTTTTGTTAACAGTGATTATTGTTGGGGAATTGAGCTAACTCGGGAGGGTAATCGTTTGAAAGAGCATGCAGAAAGATTTGTTAATGGTGGTAAATACGACAAGATTCCGATGAAAAATTGGGCTATCATTGATTTCCGATGTTATCAAAAAGAAGTAAAGGAATTAAAAACAAACTTTTGGTACGTTCTTTATGCGAATGACTATAAAAGTGTTACTATAAAACGTAGTGGTCAGCAGGATGAAGTTCTTTTCTTGAAAGGCGATAAAGTGTAACTTCATTGTAAATTTTTAGTATTGCGAAACTGACATAATAAATTTCTGTATTTTTCACTACAATAAAAAAACGTTTTATTCTCATTGATATGACAAACAGATATGTTTTTTTTCTCGCAATATTATCTGATGATGCAATAAGAACCGATCATAAATAAAAAAAAAAAAGGGAAATTAACACGTGAAAAAAGTTTGGGACGCGGTCCTGCCAATACATGCTGTATCATATAACAATCGTGAAGACTCTTCTCACTTCCAACCAATAGAAGTAGGATCTACCAGCTAATTATATGATAAAATCTTCTTGCAATAAAGTAACGTCACATCACCCATATACAGCATGCATTTGGTTAAAACGACTCGCAAACTAACTTTATTTATTAATCATAAGAAATAGCAAAGTTAGACTAAAAAAACATTTTGATATGTGGCGCAGTGGTCACGTGGCGTGAAACATAGTTCACGCGATCTGCAAAGAATTTATGATTCCCGAACAAAATGAGCTATAATACTTTTGATTTGAGTACCTGTAAGCTTTGAAATATTATCCGCACTATAGGATTGAACCCTCTTGACTTTTTTAATCCCTATTTTACTGAACAATTCGAAAATATTTCTTGCCTTCTGTGTCTTCTTACGTAAATTTTCTCTTGTAATGTTTGAAAGATGTTTTAAAATTGCATTATATACCTGAGTCCTAGCCTGTTGATTTTTAACCCTCTTATCATTATCTTTAACATCCTTAACACTTTTTTCAAACCGTTCAGCATAGTAATACCAACAGTGAATTTCCTCTTGATAAGCTTGAGTTACACGCTTTTCGGCCTTAATTGCTTTTTGGAATAATTGAGCTAAATTCTGCGAGATTGAACCCTCAGAACCCTCATCCTTATCATTGGTTTCGGTAGTCTCCCCCTTAATAGGTGTAGATAATTTATGTAACAACTCTTGAAATCTTTTCTATTTACGATTGGTTCTTGGGGATGTTTTTCTTGATGATCAGATTTGTGTATTAGCGATGTCATCTTCAGTTGTTTGATTAGTCGAATTATCCATCCTTCAATCATAGATTTCAGGGATAAACAGAATGAAAGGTGAGTGTAATTACTACATATTCTATTTTCACTGCATTACCTACCTTATTTGAGAATTATGATTGTTATTCCCATCATCATCATCATTTTCAGCATCATCAATGATATCTGATAGCTCTGATATCTCTTCCACATACATAATTGGACTTGTCGCTTGATCATATGTAGTAACTTCAGTTCTCTTTTCCCTCTGACCCGCAAGAGAATCTTCGTTCTCTATAGTATCATCACTTAAGGGGTCTTTTTTTCTGAAATCCTTATTCTTAGACACCATGTGATACTCACAGAAGCTAGTGCAAGTTCTTCCCTAATAAGTTCGAAAGGTGATATACAACTAGAAATAGAGCATAAAGGAAAATGTGTTTCTGATCGTACAATATGTTTTTCAAGACATATTCGATGGTATATATGTCCACATGATAATACTGTGAATGAAAGAAGTGGTAAGGCAAGAATTTCTTTATCGCAGAAGTAGCAAGGATCAAGTTTCGGGATATGTTCATCAGTTATTTCAGAAGTGTTTTTTAGAAAATTTAACAAAAGTGCTTTAAGTTGAAAAACCTCTGTATAATCCGTATGAATTTCTGAAGAACTTGCTGGTAATTCGCTAGTCATACTATTAAATCATAAAGAAGATTTCTCATTGTCTTTTCTCCCTACATAAGTATTTTTTTATATATCAAGACTAAAACGAAATTAGCCTTACCCTGAGAAAATTTATCTCAGAAATAAACGTCTCAGAAATGAGTATCTCAGAAATGAACATCTCAAAAATGAGCATCACAGAATGAAGATCACGAATAAATCAGGATTAATAATGAAAAGATATATATAATACCAATTAGTTTATATTGTTCAATTTTTACCATAGCAGATAAAAAGACTATCTCACTTTATCTTTATGTTATAACCCTTTTCAAACATATATCACAAAAAAAAAGATTACTATACTTCTAGTTAAAGTTACGATCGTTGCAAACATGAAAGCCTCTGAGATAAATATAGTAATCCTTCCTTTGATCAAAGATCTTTAGGAGAAAAGGTTTCTGATTATTTCTATACATCAACTTCAAAAAAATTTTACTAAACATTGTTGGCTTATCTTCCGCAGTACCAAAGAGGGTGGAATTTATTTCCAAATTCATATGATAACTATGAAAACTCTTTTCACTTCTAACCAGTAGAAATATGGGATCTATCAGATGATCCACTTATTTTTCTGTCGCACAATCTGGCTGAAGGTGCTGTGTATGGCTCAGTAAATTCTTTCGAGTTGAAGATCACTGCTCTGGACTGCTTAGCTTAGAAGAACAATCATCTTTTTACGCAAACTCTAGCTCCTGAGTAGACACAAAAAGGGCTTTTTAGTACAAAAAGCCCGAATGACTTCAGAAGGTCATCCTGGGTATTACAAATTTTATATATCGAATTTTACATATCAAATTTTTCTACTTTGGCACGTTCCTGTCTGAAACCTTTTTGGAATCCATCTTAGGTAACAAATTTTTTCACATATATGAACGCTAAACATGAAAGCAAATAGTGTTCGCAGACTGCAGAGCAAAGTGAAGCATATACATAAGATATGAAAGTAAATAGTGTTCTCAGTCTGCGTAGTGAAGCAGAGCATGTATACAAGATATGAAAGCAAATAGTGTTCGCAGACTGCGGAATGAAATGGAGCATGTATACAAGATATGAAAGTAAATAGTATTCTCAGTCTGCGGAGCGAAGCGGAGCAAAGCGGAGCATGTACACATATGAAAGCAAATAGTGTTCACACTCTGCGAAGTGAAGCGGAGCATGTACACAAGATACAATCACATAGTTGCAGAGCAAAGTGGTGCATATACGCAAAACTTGAAAAAATTATGTGATAAAAATGCATACATATTGGGTTCCAAGAACATTTCCAGAACTTCCTCAGCACTAGCCCATCACTAGCCTGAATTTTTGCAAGCTTTTGACGCTGATAAAAATCTCAAATGCAATATTTACCTGCATGTTTCCTACAAGCACTATAAATAGAGAAAGTTAATTTTCTGCATTTTATACACAGAATTCGTCTAGGAGATTTCCAATAGACTTTACACCCTTCCGGACAATAGCACCCTCATTGCACACTTCTCTAGTCCTAAGAATATATGGACAATTATAAAATCCCATTCTAATAGTCTCTTCTTTTTGAATAAATATGTAACTTTAATTATCTGAATAAATTAATTTTTATTTTAAACTTTTTGTAACCATATATAATCTTTAGAAAAATATGAGTGGATTACTTAATAGTATCACTGGCACATTAGGACAATTGTTCGGAAATCTCTGAGGAAGTCTGACACCACCCGAGTTGCCTGAACCTTCTAAACCACCAGAAGAAGACTCAGAGTCAGAAGGAGACAGCGACTATGAGACCGCTGATGAAGGAAAAATATCAGAATCTGAATCTGAATCTGAATCTGATAATGAGTCTGAACCAGAAGAAGAGGATAAGATAATATTTCGAAGAATAGAAGATCCAGCTCTAAAAGGTTAGTAGAAACTAGAAGAATTTCTGATCAAGACTTATGTGTAGATCATCTTGCTATTATTCCAGAAACTTATCCATATCGAGAAGATCTCTTAATTACTTTTGAGAATGTAGAAGACCAAATTAGCGATATTTATAGAAGAAAGTTAGCACGCTTAGGGGGAATAAAAATTAAGATAGTTTTTATTGCTCATATATATCGGATTGTACAAGGGGCGTTTTGCTTACCAATTAGATCAAGATATAGCATTTCCAAGTGAAATTTTAGATATTATTCGCCAGAATCGAATAGGTCAAACAGTTTCACGTTAATATAATGAAATTTTAGATAAAATTGACGAAATGAAGCAAAATCAACATTCAGGCTGGATTTATGATTATAGAAAAAAGATCTTTCTAGAAATAAGTGCGTACCAACCATTCTGAGGTCGTTCATATTTTGCATTACCAAAAATATGGGCCAAGCCTCAGCTAGGGATAATTAACCTACAAAATATAGATGAAAGATGTTTCGAAGTCTGTTTAAAGGCTTACTTAGCAAGTGAAGAGGCCCGTAGACAGAGAACTAGAGCGAAAAATCTTCATGATATTAGTAGATTAAGGCACTTTGATAATATACTAGACTTTTCTGGTATAAATTTTCCAGCTACATTACATGATATCGACAAATTTGAAGAAAATAATCCAAATTACGCAGTAAATGTGTTCTATCCTGCACCAGAAAAAAATAACAAAGAGCAATTGACCAGAAACCTGGACCCTCTCCGTATATCAGAATACAACTATTAAAGAGAGTATATGGTGGATTTAATTTTATTTACTGAAGGAGAAGAAGATTTGAGAGATCACCGTATTATTAATGAAATCTCACTAGGATTAAATACTCATTACTGTCTCATTAATAGTGAAAATGAATGGAATCGGATTATGCAATCTTGGAATAAGCATCATGAACGTAAATATTTCTGTCGCCACTGCCTGATAGCTCCATTCTCAAGAATGAACTTACTTGAAGAACACATAAAGCACAATTGTTATGGACGAAATAATCCTAATGCTGAGCAAAGAGAAATTTTCCCAGAAAAAGGAATGCATATCATGAAATTCAAAAACTATAAGGCAATGGAAAATGTCCCATTTTATTTCGCTAAAGATCTTGAAGTAGATAGTGATCTGATAGAGAACAATATTATCAATGAAAAGACCATTAAACTACAAAAGTAGAAGCCTAATAGTTATGGTTATTCTTTGATCCAAACGGATGAAAAACTTGCGAAAGAAGTCATCAGGTGAACCCTGAACTCGATTGCAGAATCATGGGAGAGCATGCAATGGGATTTAGAAGAAATTATCAAGCCAAAGTTGCAAACCCCTGA